CATACATACCTGATGTCTCAGAAGCGGGACTGTCAAGACACCATCAGGCGGACTTGCTTCAGAATTAGGCTGAGAGAGATCCTGTCAAATAAGACCATGTAATTAGACCTAATGAGTGACTTAAAACCAAGAACAAAGGTTAATATGGAACTGTCATTAATTGTAGTCTCCCATTATAACGCATGACACATCCAATAACAGGAGACGATCAGGAACCTTTTAGCCCCATTATAGCCCCATACAACATTCTCAACTTAATCATGGACAAGGTTATAAATCAGAAATTGCAATATATACAAATATGTATCCATTATCCCCAATCAGCAAAAACTAAGGTGTTGGACTGTTGGTGCCTGGGAGAGAGTAAAATATTATCAACAAGATATACAATGGCAATTGGGCAAAACGCCTACTTCCTTATAAGACTAACAGCTGCTAACCTGCAATGCAGCTTGAAAGATCATATTTTCTTTATTTGACTGAAGCTTCAGGCCTCCAGATTGATTGTAATTATGACCAACTGTAGAATATTCTGAAGAAACTACCGGCTTTTTCATAGCTAGAGGTCGATGTGGGATTGCAGATTGGCCATTAGGTTCTATTATGCAGATGTCAGAATCATCATCACTATCGGATATACATTCTGAAGAATGACTTTGAACTGATTCAAAGCTGGCATTTGAGAAATTAGAATCAATGCCCCTCGGTTGAACATATTCACGGCCTCCTTGAATTTGAAAGTCTAAATACTCACTGCTTTGTGTCACTGGGCTGGGATCTTCTGCAACATATTGCAAACATGTATCTGAATCATAAAAATGATTGGAGCTTCTATCGCCACTGTCTTGGCTAGGTAGAGCTGTTTGCGGTGCCATATACGAGTATCCTTTCTCTGTTTGATAGGAGGCTGCAGAGCTTGATGCACCAGACCACCAATGATTGGTTTCTCCAGAAACATAAGCATCGTCCCTGACACTATATTCCCCTGGAACTGAACTGTAGACCACTTTCTCTGACTCAACCTCTGGTTTAACCGTCACATGAACAGCTTTATTATCCTGAAAACTGCTTGAATAATTATCAGGCCGGTCAAGGTCATTATCAGCTAAATGACTGTCAAAACTGTTGTACGGTTTGACACAGGCAGGAGAAACTGAAGGATTACTTTCAAACTTGAAACTGATCCCTCTTGCACTAGAAAAATCAATAGGAGGTTTACTTTCTAAAGATCCATGATCGACTCTGCCATGTCTATCAAAAATCATCCGGCTTGCACCATCCGACTGAGACTCACTTACTCCACTCTCAACATCAATTACAGCTTCTTCTTTATTAGGAAAGAACTGAAACGCGAAATTCTGGACAAAATTGGGGGTATGGTCTGACAAGGATGTACCACTTGTATTGTAGCAATCTTGTGCAGAAGAGACATAGTTATCCGCACTGTCACTGAGAGAATTGGAATTATTTAAAAAACCAGACATGACAGAGGAATTATGATTGGCTCCCAACCCCACTCCGTATCCAGGCACATCATCAAAATATGGAGTCGCCATTGTGGGGCTGCGCAATGTAACTGCAATTTGATATAACAAAAAATGAGGAACATGGAAATTAGCAACAGATAGATGAGAAGTGTCAAATTTTACAAAAAAAAAAAATAACCTGACATTTAGTAGATAAGGTGCATACATTTGGAATCAATTATCTTGTCATCCTGCTTGGAAACAGTGTCAGGATTGAAGGCCATCATATTGCCATCATGATCAGAGAAACTAGACGATATACTACAACTAGTCATCTCAGATTGAGATACTCCACATGTTTCCACATGCTGCTCACCCTGACTTAACGAAAACCAATCTTTAAGACTTGCCGAGCAAGTATGAGCAGGTGAAGGACTCAGCCCGGCTTCCATTTTCACATGTTCATCAAATGAACCTGGCACAACTATCTCAGTTTGCGAGGCTCCTAAGCTATATGAATCCCGAGAAGGACACCAATCAACCATCTGAGATCCTAATCAACAAACACACATAACAAAACAAAAAAATCCAAGCGATGTTAATGTGGATGTACCTCAAACAGCTCAAGAACTATTATGCGTCTATGTAAACAACAAAAAAAGAAGTACACTTTCCAACTACTAACCATTTTGTAACTGTGAATCCTTGAGCTCGTCAGCAGATGAACCAACTGGTGATAAATTTTCTTGGCTACCCTAAAAGTAGTCACTTTAAATGTTAGTTTCTTATCTATCCATAAAAGTAGTCATTAGGGATTAGTGCAGCTACAGAATTATGAATCAACATACATTAAAACCAAATACAAATCCAAATATCTTTAGCAGCATTCAAAATCAATGTACGCAGCTAATCAAAACGATGTCCGCCAAAAAAAAAAAAATGTAATGAAATTGAAGTTTAGGGAAGCGTGTAATCGAAATTCTCAAGCTTTCCAAAAAATTAAAAAAAAACTACCTCAGCAGAATCAGGCTTCTCATCTAGAATCCGATAAAGCGTTTCGATGTCAATAGTCTCGTCATCATCTTCAAACTCAAAACCACCATCACAATCATCAACGTGAAATTCATCTCCCATACCAAACACTGAACCTTCCTCACCCATCACGAATCCAACAAAAAAAAAACCCTAACCCGAGAAGGCGGAAGGGGAGATTAAACAAACCCTAAATCGGAAAACCCAAAAGTCACGGAATTTACCTCCCGGAAAACCCAATCGAAATTCAGAAGTTGAAGCGTAGATCCAGAGATTTGAGAATTTTCTGGTATGAAGAAGAAGAAGAAGAAGGCTTGTGAATTGGGTTTTGAAGGAATTTTCCAGGAAAAGTAGAGAGCAGTTGGGTTTCGATAGAAAGAAAATAAAAACGCGACTTTTGTTAGCGACGGTGGCTTCTTTATATTGCCTTCGTCTCTCTCTTTTGGCTTTCTCCGAATTGGAAAAGGTAAACAAAGGCACGAGAGTCTTCGGGGCTTAAATAAGGAACGGTCGAAGAAATTGTTTAATTGTTTTCCATTTTTTATTTTTCGTTAATATAATAATGCATGATTATATAATTATATATTATATGCGCCGTCATCTTTATTGTTAAAGCAAAATCACAATTTAAACAAAAGGGAAAAACTTTAATTAGAAGGAAACTGAAGTGAGTTCAAGTAATGGAGATTTTTTTGAAGTGTTTCGTAATCATAGTTTATGGTGCAAAATATTTTTTGTTGTTTTTATTTGTGTGAAATATAAGTCTTACATTTTATTTGATACAAAATATTAGAGAGAGACTTTTTGACCAAAAAACTTCATAAACATGACTAAGAAAATAAGAATTTGGCAATTTCTTATTTTTAAGAAGAAAGTAGATTTTATAAATAAAACATTGACTTTAAATATATTAAAAACAAATATCAACCTAAATTACAAAAATTTAATATTTGTAAAAGGTTGTTGCGAAGAGGGGAGCTTCTGTAATTGTTCAAAGTGTTGTCAAAGAGGACAGATTTCAATCTTATGTTGCTTCAGGTCCTCCTTGTTGGCTTCATCAGTTCTTTGAGGTTGAGAGAACCTTTATGTAAAACTGATGCTCTTTTTCCTCGTCCAATCTTTATCGTCATTTTTTGGTGAATAGTATTTATTCTCTGTACCTCTCTTGTAACTCTATTGGGGCTCTTTTGTAAAGGTTCTTCTTCAGTTGAAATATCAATACATAATTTTTTTCAGTGAAAAAAAAAATACAAAAGATCAATTGGAATACGACACATGGATCCACTTATCAGAAAAATGATCATCTTAGTCGATAAGAAGATATAAAACATATAATTGACTTAAATGATCTTACTAATTTCGTAGTCATAATTTTTTACAAAGCATTATATTGCTAATTTCTTAATAGTATATTTTCTAAACTGAGACCAAATTTTCCTATATTTAAAGAAACCAAATATGGACCAACCAACCAATTGTAAAACCATAGTCAAAAGAAATGTGGGAGTTGAGAGCAATGAACACTTCACACGCTTGTAATCTTCTGAATCATTTGTTAGCCCTAAAACAAGACTAGCTAGTATTATACGAGACCCCCATTTCTTTGATTGATCACATATACAATTATGTAGGTAGTTTGATGAGAAAGAACTTGTCCATAATGTGATCAACAATTCCGTTCTTGCCAAGTCTCAAAGTAGTTACATGCCGTATTGATAAATATGAAGAACCTTGTGATTTGCAGAATTAAGAGTTGCCAAAAGAAACAATATATATATAAGGATTGACTCGAGAAGTTTTAGTGTAACTTCTTCACTAAGTCCTTCCAAATCAATCGAGAAAAAAAAAGATATTTAAAGAATAAGTGGTCCATCGATTCTCAGTTGGTCAACTAGAAGACCTCAAATTTTGCAGTCGATCATTTGTCGTATTGTGTGGTTCCACACAAAAAACCATGTGCAAAGAAAAAAACATGTTTTGGGACTTAGTTTTCAGTGCAATTAATTAAATTAAACATACTATTAGAGTAGAATATATTTTGCACCGGGCAAAATGCTTTTGTCACACATTTGTTACTTAATAATTGATTTTAATAGAATATAAATCCAAATATGATCCATTGTTATTCAATTTTTGGTTTTAAAGTATGCGTTAAACTCTTATGTTATTGGATCTAATTATGCTGTCAAATTTTAACTTCAGTCTTATACTCTTATTTAATAAAATTTTGTGTTATTCAAAGTTAAGATAGTTTAAAATCTGTGAGTATCAGCCGAAAAAAAAATATGTGTATTAAAATCATTTGGAAATGAATTCTATTGTAGGATTTATTACTTCCAAACCATGTTATCCGGTTTACAAATAACCAAAAGCCAAAAGCAAACCGAGTTCTATAATAATTTAAACCGGATCGGTTCATCGACGGTTCGTCAACATCCTCTAAGAAACCCGATCTCTTCTTCTCTATCGAAAATCTCCAACTTTTTTGTTTTATCAGATTGTAGAATTGGGGAAGAGACTTTCGCAAGCAATCTAGAAGCAAATCGATTCCCAAATCTCCGGATTATTTGCAAGAATCATTCCCAAATAATCTTCCCCAGATTCTCCACTTCTCCAGGTACATCGTTATTATTCAATTTTCCAGAAAAATAGTCGCACACTCTCTCTTTCTTAGAGCTACGGTTCTTGTGCTGTTTTGAGATTAAAGCTCGAATTTTGACTAAAGCCCTAAATTAATCTGTATCACTATCTGATCATCGCAAAGTCAATTTCTTTTGGAAATAACTCTGATCGGAGTGTTGCTCGAACAGGTATTAATTTTGTATTGAGTGGATTAGATTTCAAGATATGAGAGCCTCACTGGCGTTCTAATGTCACTGTTTCGTATTTTTATTAATCAGCTTGAAGAAGACGACGAAGATATGGTAATTTTTGATTCTTGTGTTCTTTTATCCAACTTGATGATGGGTTTCAGGAAAAATTGAATCTTTATGCACTTTGTTTAACCTTATTTTAATCGTGTCTTGTCGCAGGCTACATCGAAGAAAATGATCACACGTGAAGAATGGGAGAAGAAACTAAATGCTGTGAAGCTTAGGAAAGAAGATATGAATACTTTGGTGATGAATTTTCTTGTGACTGAAGGATATGTTGAAGCTGCTGAGAAATTTCAAAGAGAGTCTGGAACCAAACGTATCCTCTTTGTGATTTCGGTTTTGAGTTTTTGTTTGTGGAATTGGTGTGTTTGATGTTTTGGATTATCTACTTCTTTTGGATTCCTTATCGAGAAACAGCAGAGATTGATCTTGCCACCATCACTGATCGAATGGCTGTTAAAAAGGCTGTCCAAAACGGAAATGTCGAGGATGCGATTGAAAAAGTGAATGATTTGAATCCTGAGGTACAATGCTTCTACATATCATGTGTGAACAGTTGTCATTCACTTTTTTGATGTATTAAAGAATCAAAATCTGATTCTTCGTTGAACCCATTCTTGCAGATACTAGACACAAATCCGGAGCTCTTTTTTCATCTTCAGCAACAAAGGTTGATAGAATTAATTCGACAAGGGAAGACAGATGAGGCCTTGGAGTTTGCTCAGGAGGAACTTGCACCACGTGGCGAAGAAAACGTAAGTCTTTGTTTTTCACTTTGTGTCCGTATTTTTACTTGGATTTCTGTTGTTGAAGATGGTGTTTTCCATGTGAAACATCTATGTATTGCTCATTGACTGTGTGTAATACCTGTTGTTGCTGAAACTCCATTCATAAAATCTGTTTTATCTTTCTGCAGCAAGCGTTTCTGGAAGAATTGGAAAAAACTGTAGCCCTACTTGTTTTTGACGATGCCTCTACCTGCCCGGTTAAAGAGCTTCTTGACCTTTCCCACCGCCTTAAGACAGCAAGTGAAGTAAATGCAGCGATTCTTACAAGCCAGAGCCACGAGAAAGGTAACTTTTGATGTTAGATTGGTTGTCTTTTAGTAGCCACAAAAATGCTATTATAATCTCGAGCACCATTCATAACAACTAGAATATATCATTCATTACTTCACCCGCAACATGTATCATCGAAGTTCTTCTTGAAACTTTCCACTTTCCTTAATGGTTAAATGTAGCAACTCAATGTTTGTGAACAAACAGATCCTAAACTTCCAAGCTTGTTGAAGATGTTGATTTGGGCCCAAAAACAACTGGATGAGAAAGCAGTGTATCCGCACATTAATGATTTGTCTACTGGTCAGCTCGAAGACCCGTCAGAATGATTCCGTACTTGTTTCAGCAATGGAGAAACAGAAGCAAAAAGGAACACTGAATGGTGCTCTTCTCTTCCCTTCAATCTCAATAACTTATAATTCATATGCTTTCTGCTTTTCCTTTTCTTCTGCATCGGGATTTGTTGAACCCGCAATTGTTAGGATATGTGGAGGGGAACATAAGCTGTTGTAGGCAATGAATTACTCTAGTCAAATGTTCTTATTATCAACATATTTCATAACTCCTTGTGCATTTGATTTGAATGAAGTTATCGACTTTGTTTGGATCTTTGTGTTTGTTTTGAGGAATTTTTTTGTTCCGGAAGGTTCAAATTTGTAAACAGGAGAGATGGATTATTCATCACATGTATAGTTAGATGAATCAGTGAATCAACTTGGCAAGGTTACTTACCTAGAAAACTACATGACCTATTGAATTGAGTGATGTTAAAGTCGAAATGTAGAATCTCTGCGAACCGTACTGAAACATCATCTTACTTTTCTTCTTCGCAAAATATTATTTTGGTAATGACAGCTTTGAATCTCGCCTCCAATCTCACATTACTCAGCAAAAGGGTACGAAGGAAATGAAGGGAAAGTTCCAAACTTTTTGAGTAATAGCAACCCTTTAACATATAAAATAGGAAACCGAATAGGAACAAGCTAACCAGTTCAATTGAACATGAGATCATCAAACCAACGAAAAGGAAGGCAAACATAATCCACGAGACTCTTTTATGCTGACTCTAGCCATCTCAATCTTGCATGACATGGTCTTCCGGATCATAGGACTTTGAGGGTTTGCTCTCCACCTCATCTCTGGCTGCGGGTTGGCCCAAATCGCTTTGTCCACAGTCAACATCAGCAAACTCCTTAGACACGAGCGGCGCCTTTTCCGTGGTGCTTCTAAGTTTGGCCTCTACCTTCTCAGCTTCATCTACTACATCTGACACATAATTGAGGATCCATCCGCAGTTCGCTGCACTTACCCCTTCGTGCAACTCCTCGCGTAGCCCTTCCTGGAACAGACACGCCAGCTCCTCTTCCTCCAACTCTCTTCCGAGGTTCTTGACCTTCTTAAGGAACTCTTTATAATACTCACGCACTGTCTCTGTTCCTTGCTTCACCTCAAAGGGTTCCCAGCTCAAGGCAATGTTGACGTCCACCAGCTTAGCCTCGTCGAAGTCTCCGCCCTGAGAAGCTTCTCGAGGCGGCTGATCCTCCTCCCCGACTGCCACTGGACGCTCAAAGTTTTTTGGGTCACCAGATTTCTTGATCGACCCGGTCTGCCTGCGGGTCAATAATTCATCGTGTTTTAAATTTAATTATTTATTATCTTATGAAAACAAGGATAGGTTTTTAATTTAAAAAACTATTCATTATCATAGAAAAATATGACTATTATAAATCTAATATATTTTTAAATAAAAGAAATCACATCAAAATTCTAACAAATTATCAAATATTATGGATTATAAACTTTGGGGAAAATTTGATAAAAGTAAAATAAATTATCATAATTCAATTAAAAAACCAAACTGACATTAGTGAAACCATAATTTATACGAAAATCGAGTATAATAGGATGAGTCCAAATGGATCAAATAGAGTTTAATCAATCGTAAAGTCAAAGTGGAAAAGTATCTATGTTTTTTCTTTTTGTCTGAAAAAGAGATCTATGTTAAAATTATTTTTTTGAATTTAAATATTTTAACCAAAACATTAAAAAAAAAAACCTGATTTAATTTGAGAGGTAGAGGAACCTCTCAAATTAAATAAACCTCGATAAAATGATTTAGATCTTTTGATCATGATCCTTAACAAGATTTTCATTTCACGCTTTATAATTACAGAAATAAAAATTCTAGAAAACTAATCTGAAAGTTAAACAATTGAAAATAATATAATTTCTTATTGTAGTTTTTCAAAATCATCACTAGATATTGTAAAATAGAAAATAGAAAATTGAGAATCTCTTAGGAACTTACAAATTGAGATTACTTCTTCCATCAGTCATTGTGAAGAATGAACAAATAAGAAAAATGGGAACTAGAGCTCTTAAATTGAGTCTCACCAAATTATGTATAACTTTTATAAATTCCCAAGATGGGATATTATTGCTTTATGTTCTTCTTTTTTGTTACTTGATTCATTTTCTTATATAATATTTGATTAAAACTTGCGCTCGTAAATTTAAAATCTTTACGTCCGCGCGCAAGTCAATAAAAGATGGAAATACAATAAATAATACTTTTGTTTGTTTTGATAATTTATAATAAATTAATAAATATCTCATTCACCTCTTCTCCTCCTAATTGGGCAACCAATCATGGAGTTGTTTTTTAATGAATGTGTGGTTGACAAAAAAAAAAAAAAAAAATCTCATTCACCCAAATTTCAGTATCATATTTTTCATGCGATACATAAATTAGTTTATTTGTTCATGAGAAGGAAAAAGTAGGCTAGCAAAATAAAATAATTATTAAAAATTATTTTATATGAAATAAGTTCAAGTTACTAAATCATTATGAAAATCTAATTAGTATATGCATATAGTACACAATTTTCAAAAATATATTTTTATAATATGGTAAATTTGTTAAAGATAAAAAGTTAGAACTATATTTCCCATATTAAAACAAATTTCAAATTTAATGAATTTAATATGGAGGTTGACTTTTGAAGTCTTTTTACATGCATGTTCATTAATTATGTTTACAAAAATAGTTTTATGTGGTATATAAATTGAATATTATTTTATAAAAGATAAATCTACATTTATGACACAAGTAAAATTTTTAAAAAGTACTAGGATATGACCCGCGGTGTACCCCGGGTTAATTATTTCATTTTTTTATCTTTTTATAAATTGATGAATTTGTTGTGTATAATATTTTTTGTTGTACACCGCGGGTCATATATGTTGTATATAAAAAATAAATATTTTAAGTTGTATTTGTTTTGTTTACTGTTTAAGATTGTATAATTAAATTTAGATTTGTTAATTCTAGGATTTCACCCGTGGTATATTGTCCCGTATTAATATCGACTTAAACCCGTCCCACCATATACTCCTGTCATGTGGAATTAAACATCATTTTGTTATTTTTTTTAATAACACTTTTATTTAAAAGACATATAATTCGAGTCAATTTAAAAGTTTATTTTCAAATGGTTTCCATAATATAGATTTTTAAATTAGTATGTGTTTTTGGACCAACCCATAAAAAAAATTTATAATTGTATCTTAAAATACTAAATAATTGTATTTTGATTTGTTAATTTTAGGATCTCACCCGTGGTATACTGTCTCAATTTAGATAATTATAGAAATTAAGAAAAGATCTGAATGACTCAATTTCAGGTCAGAATAAAAAAAAACGACTTGATTAAATGTGCAATTTGTTCTAAAAAAATGTTAATATAGATTACACACATACTTTTTTTTTCATCGATTGAGTAATATATGTCTGTTTTAAAAAATTTGAATCATAACATATGCAGAAAAAAAAAAACTAAAATTTATTAACTATATATATTTTATAATAATTCAAAATAATATAAATATAATATCAAATAAAAGTGAAATAAGAATCATATATTTATGTTTAAAATAGGTAGAAAGGTTTTAGGAAAATTAGCTCAAATTTGTTATATTAGCATTAAATTATTATATTTGATATTCTAATCTAGAAAAATTGTAGAGAATATACCATAAATAAATAGTTTAGATATAGTAATTAGTTGAAAAAATATATATAATTTAGATTTTATTATGTATTTTCGTTTTTAATTTACCAAAAAATAAGGAAAGATCCGATTGAAGATTTCTGGGTCAAAATCACAAAAAAATCCGACCCGATTGGAAAGAGCAAATTTGTACTTCAAAAATGTTAAGTAGATATAAAAAGTCCATATATTAAAATTTTATGACTATTTTCTTCCAACTTTAGTTGATATAATAAAAAATCACAATATGTATTGTAGACACTTAATATTTATTTATTTTATTTTATTAAATGTTCATAGATACTTATTATTTTGATACATATTATTTAGTTGATAGAGATGTGTTACAAATAGTTCTTTTAGTTGATTTGAACACTTTCTTTTGTACCAAAAGCAAAACAAGAAAACATCATATGGTTTGTGTACTCATTGGTATTGATACTGACCCACACATATGCTTTTGCATCGTCACTAATTAAAAGTTTAAAACGTCTCATAAGCTTTGTCACACACAGACGGAGACATTTTTTTTTTTTTTTTGGTAACATATTAAGTATTTATACCAATTTTAGATTTGCGACAGAACTTACAGAAGAAACGAGAAAAGCAGAAAGACCGAAAACTACAACAAGAAAATAAAAAACGATACAACAGAAAACACAACAAGGAAAAACAAAAACGAGAACCTTGATTTGTTTGTAAGTATTTTATGAGTGAGAGAAAATAGTGGATTCTATGCGTGTGGAGATATAAGAAGTGGTCTCTACTATACTATTTTGAGTTGCATTTCCTAGGAACACAAAATGGCCCACTGGCATTGTCCCTTTGTTTCATTGAGATTAGAGAGTGTCCTCTTTCTCTTCATGTTCTTGTGAATGATATAGTTTCAATGAGATTGAAGATTCCCTTTTGTCTCTCATCTCTTTACGTTTTGATACTAAGAATTAGCTTAACTTAATAAGGTGATTCGGATTTCATAATATCGGTTACAGTAACGAAATTCAGATAAATCTAGATCGACTACCTTGAGAGAGGATTTGGTACTTGGAAAGCCAAATCTCACTCAAAGATATGAACTTAAGTTTGAACTTGAAAGTGGGTTTTAATTTGTTGGATGTGAAATCATGCATGATCTCATTGTCTTAATTATCAATTGGAGATGATTTTGTTTTTGGTTAGGAATAGTCATTTGGGGGTTATAAATTAATTGGCATGTGACATATACACAAAGAACCTACCATGTGAACATATCTAGTATCATTCAAACATGGGAGGACCCATACATTGTAAATCTACAAGTCCTTTTTCAATTTAAGAGGTTTAGATCAACTTCATTTTTATGTGACTTTGTGCTAACATCAAATTCTGTTTTGGGGAACATAACACATTACAAAAGAACATATCTAAATCCCAACATAGATAGGGGTAAAGATATATTCTTGTCTTCTCAATAAAACTGTTTGGATATCAATTTCTATAGTTTGGAAACTGTTTTAATGGCGTTTATATCGATTTGCAGATAGATGTGTACTCAAAAGGAGTCTCGGTGTGATACAAGATTGGAATCACTCCAACTTTAGATCACTTGATGATCAAGAGATTCCAAGCTTTTCACGCGGAAGGTGGGATGATGAAGGTGGTGATCTGACACGATGGCGGTCGCTTCTCTCGTGTGGGATCGATTCAAGGGGAATTGATGGATAGAAGGGTGATTGACTCGCTCAATCAGTGGGGTAATCGACTCACTCGATCAATGAACGAATGAAGGATGTTGAATCACTCAACAAACTTAATCCGCAGAATCCTGAAGTACTTAGTGACTCACTCACAAAGAACTACAGAACAATGACAAAGACTCAAACTTTGACAAGAAGAAAACGTTTCTATTACTTTAATATGATCAAGGGTGCTTTACAATGAGACTAATGATCAGCTTATATAGGCTGAGTACAAACGTTCTAAAAGCTAAACAAAGAAACAAATCGCAACATTAAAAGAAAATATGGTCGTTGGTCCAAATAAGGCAAGTGAGGTGTGCCTTGTATCTTGTCAACTTGGGGAGGAAGTTGTGACGTCTTGGAAGCTTCTTGATGCTCTGGAATATCTTAAGTGGACGCTCAAACAAAAGGGGAAAGATCCATGGGACATTGATGACAATCGGGTCCAAATATGGTAAGTAGAGCTCAGAATTGATCCGCTTGATCAAATGTGGTGTGGTGTATCTTAGAGCGTGTAGTAAAGCCTCTAAGTGATCTAGATACTCTCCAGGTCGCCAAATAAAGCTTTGAGGCACGTCCAAGTATAGAATAAGGAAGATTTCCTTATTTGGCTTCATTTGGTGCGGTACTTCAGAAAGTAGTTCAGCGAGTAGTTCAGCAAGTAGTGCAGCCGGTCTGTCAGCAAGTACATCAGCTATATGTACTTGTAACATCTTCGAATCAATTTCTTGGTAAATGATTCCTTGATGACTTGATGTTGCCTCGTTAAAAACCTTTCTAGGTAAACCCATTGGGATAAACCCTAGATAAGGGAAAAAGAGTGCAACGGTCAAATTTCCCCAACATGGTGATTCGGCTCGCTGGTCTTTGATTCCTCCTGAACTATCGTTTGTCTTCTTAGGATTAATTTGCTGGTGAATAATTAACCCTAGGCCTTGTGCTTGATTATGACTCCATTTGGGCAAGAATCCTCCAAAATGCTCCATATCAACCAGTTTGATACATGTACCGGTTGGTTTGGTATACTCCCGGTTTGGTTTGATTTGGATGTCCGCATCACGGTGTTGATGCCAGGAGACGATATACCTACATTCATTGCCTACCCCGCATCCGCACCCTGTATTTCAAACAATCGAACTTCAAGTCCAAACTCCATTCGAGAATGTTAAACGTTTGATTTTTGTATTACGTTATGGTTTGTGCTTCTGCGGTTAACTTTTTCTTCTTGCAAAATGATTTCATCTTCATTGCCGAGATTTGTTATGAGAATTTTGTGTATATATATAATTAGAAGGAACCAAACTGCAAAAGCAAGCCTTGGCTTAAGCATATATTTATTATAAGATTTTTGCCAAATTTTATTTTTGTTGAATTTCATTTTCTTTTTACAAGATAAATGAGTTGAGAAGAATGTGTTCGCTGTCAGTGAACTGTAGTGGTCATGACTCATGAATATACTATTGTCGGCCTGCCCAATCTATAAGCCCGACCCAATAAGCAATAAATTGTTGATAGTATTGTATAATGTGGTTGTGATTGGTAACATGTGTTCAAATATTACAGAAGACACCATGATGCGTTCCCGAGATTAACCAATATATAATCTACAGTTTTGTC